TTTTTTGTTTTGTTGAATGAGTTAATGTTTGAGCAGGGTGTCGGTCACCTGTTGCCCGGTGAATTCTGCGGCGTATTATGAGACAGGTTGTGCATGAATGTTCTTTCTCTTTGTGAAGAAGCTTTGTATCGGTCTCTCCCCAACCCCTCCACCTGTCTCTTTCCCCGTTGCGGTCCTGTATCTTTCCCTCGCGTCTCTCTTTATGTCTCCATCTCTCTTCGCTCTTTCCCTCGCGTCTCTCTTTATGTCTCCATCTCTCTTCGCTCTTTCCCTCGCGTCTCTCTTTATGTCTCCATCTCTCTTCGCTCTTTCCCTCGCGTCTCTCTTTATGTCTCCATCTCTCTTCGCTCTTTCCCTCGCGTCTCTCTTTATGTCTCCATCTCTCTTCGCTCTTTCCCTCGCGTCTCTCTTTATGTCTCCATCTCTCTTCGCTCTTTCCCTCGCGTCTCTCTTTATGTCTCCATCTCTCTTCGCTCTTTCCCTCGCGTCTCTCTTTATGTCTCCATCTCTCTTCACTCCGTCCTTATTCCTCCTGTCTTTTTCCCTCTCACTCTTCACTATCTCCCCTCTCTCTTTTCCCATCTGTCTTTCTTCTCTCCTTTCTCTCTCTCCCTCTCCTTTCTCTATCTCCCTTTCCTTTCTCTCTCTCCCTCTCCTTTCTCTCTCTCCCTCTCCTTTCTCTCTCTCCCTCTCCTTTCTCTCTCTCCCTCTCCTTTCTCTCTCTCCCTCTCCTTTCTCTCTCTCCCTCTCCTTTCTCTCTCTCCCTCTCCTTTCTCTCTCTCCCTCTCCTTTCTCTATCTCCCACGCCTCTTTTTAAGTTTCATCCTTCTCTCTATTTCTCTCATTCTTTCTCTCTATTATTCTCTCCCCTGTCTCTCTCTCCCTAGGTTTCATCTCTTTCCCACTTCTCTTTCTCTCTATTACTCCCCCTCCCTCTTCGTATTTATGATATTACCATCTCTCAGCCGTCGTATTAACTCTTAGTGCCCTATCCAATTTTTTGCTTGTTTGAATGTAGACTCTCCCTAGCTTTTCTTTGCGTCAAACTCCTTGAAATAAACTCATCCAGACTCAGTTCACCAGCTCACTCTCGTATCCCATAAGTCCCAACTAAACGTCAATATTCATCAACAAACTACCAGCACAATATTCACAAACATTTTCTTTTTTTTAAGGCGGGGGGTGGGGGGGGGGGGTGGGAAAGAAAAGGGGGGGGGGGGGTAATAACAAAAAAAAGGGGGGGTAATTTTATAGTCACCAAGCGATTATAATAAACATCAAGAGCTTACACGTGACGCCATTAAAAAAAATAAAAAAGTGAGACTGCTGAACGAAACAATACACAAAGAGAGAATGTAACTCTGGCATATATAATAATAAGTCTAGTGAAGTGAAATTTCATCAAATCAATAAATCATTGAACTTTTGGCGCTACTTGCGATTACAAACTGGGGGATAGAGAGAAAGGGAAAAACAGCGGGAGAACAGAAAGCACGAGACAGACAGATACAGCCACTGCGTATTTCATCTTAGTTATTTGGCCAGGCCCACTATAGAAGGTGATGAGTGTGGAGACAGAACTCAGCCATTCTTATTGTCTTCTCTTCAGTAAGCCAATAAGGAAGTGAGATCGAGTCCTACCAGGACATGACTTGTCTTCTTTAGTCAGCGTTCAGTCTTCTGGTGGCGGATTTGTCCAACTTTTTTTTTTCTTTCAACGGCAGTGACATTGCGTTCTATAAACACTCGGCTAATACTGGTGGTGAATATTTCGTACGAGATGTGTGATTAGTGGATAATACTTCTAATTAGGTACAAGTGGATTTTTTGTTTTACAAATAACCAAAGACATTAAGTAATCAAAGAATTTGTTTTCTTGTTGTAAATAGCGAGTTGTAGCTAAAAGATTGTTTTGAATTTAAAACATTCTATCGATACGTGTGTGTATTGTCATATCGAGTCAGAAGTGCTCTGCTTTATATTACGCTGTAGCCTCAGTGTCTTTGCGCTGTAGCCTCAGTGTCATTGCGCTGTAGCCTCAGTGTCATTGCGCTGTAGCCTCAGTGTCTTTGCGCTGTAGCCTCAGTGTCTTTGCGCTGTAGCCTCAGTGTCATTGCGCTGTAGCCTCAGTGACTTTGCGCTGTAGCCTCAGTGTCTTTGCGCTGTAGCCTCAGTGTCATTGCGCTGTAGCCTCAGTGACTTTGCGCTGTAGCCTCAGTGACTTTGCGCTGTAGCCTCAGTGACTTTGCGCTGTAGCCTCAGTGTCATTGCGCTGTAGCCTCAGTGTCATTGCGCTGTAGCCTCAGTGTCATTGCGCTGTAGCCTCAGTGTCTTTGCGCTGTCACGTGACTTGTGTTGTACTGACTGATATTGTGAATCCTATTATTATTACAAGGATATGGGTGACCTTCATGCAGGTCAATTCTGCAAGATTTCAAAGGCTATTATGGTTGATACAGTAGAATTTTTTAGATTAGTTTGTTATTTTAACTCTTGTGTTTATGTATACTATGTTATCATAGCGCCTCTAGTTTACATTATGTTTGTTAATAGCTCTTTGTAAATTAAGTTAATATTATTTCTTAATCGCCGTGCTCATTTACTTTGACGTATATGCTGAATGTATCAAAGAGTATGTATCTGTTTCCTTGAACTCTTTCAGTCTACAATTTCTATTTCACCCCCACAAACTCTATAATCAGTTGCCGGCAGCGACTTATTGATTTTATTTTGGCTGTACACATTATTTTTTTATTAAATAATTGGATGTAAATGAAAATAATTATTATTAAGATGATAATAATAATATATTCGAATTTTTTCACAACTAAAATATATATTTTTGAAAGACCACATAAAAAAACATATTGCTATCAAGTTGAATTTTAAAAGGTGTTCCATAGACATATAGAGAGAATTTATATATATATATATATATATATATATATAAATTAGCTTAATTGTCACGTGTACATTTTCCTAAATAAATATATACAAATAAATATTTTAAGTTGGTAAATTATAACAGGTTTAAGACTTCAAGATTAAGTGACGATTAACCGTGTGAAATATCTTATAAGAATTTATTTGAAAGATTATATTTAGTGTTTCATAGACTGTTGTTACACAAGCGGAAGAACACTGTCATTATCTCTGCCGTTGTTGAGCAATCTTTCTGCTAACGGAAAGACTTGCTCTTCTGGAGTGTGTGAAGCGCACTTTAAGTGCAGCGTGTGTTCTATACAAAAGTAATTTAGCGTCTCGTTCTAGGAATAAAATGCGATCGCTATAAATCCTGTTGATTCACTATTCGTTAAGCTGATAGATTTATTTCTTTTAAAACGAAAAATATTCTCTGTATTTGGAGCAGGATCAATTCTTTTTTGGTTTGTCTTTGCTAATTCTTTATTCTCTGTTCATTCACAGGCTATGCAACACAAGTTCTCAAACACATGGAAGAGTTCCTGTGACACTGACTACTCATCTACGGCAGATGATGATCTCAGCGCCAACACAAACTCTATGACTACCAAAAGCATGGTGAATAGCATACTCAGAAACGGAGACAGGTACGACGAACGGATTAACGGTGGCAGCATGAAGATCCAGGACATTAAGTCCGAGAAAGACAGTGTGGACATGAAGACATGCCTTTCGTCCGTAGACAACGACCAGGACAGTCCCCTGGATTTTTCAGTGAAGCGCAGGTCATCGTTTTCGGGCAGTTTGTCCGATGATTCACGAACGTCGTCCAGCCCTGGCCATGCCACAGACTATCATGCATCCTCCTCACCCACAAACAACTACCACCACCACCACCATCTGGAGAAGCGCGAGACTCCCAGTCCAGAGGGAGATGAGCAACTGAACCATATGGACCACCCCCACCACCTCCCATCAGGCATCTCCCCTCTCTCAATGTTTTCAAATTTGCCTTTGGGCCTCCTGGATAACACCTCTGTTCTAAACACCATTTCTCAGGCTTACTTGGACCCTAAGAATAAAAAAAATAGCCGCCCTTTCAAGGCGTATCCTAAAGAAGCTCTGCAAATGCCCTTAGGGTTTTTCGGCATTCCAGGCCTACCCCAAACATCTCTGCCTCACGGAGCCGACTCTGGGCTATTTGCTGGTCTAAATAGTGACGAGCTGTTAAAACTTTATAACCAACAAGTTCACATGTTGAGTATGAGGGAAAAGTCTTTACAGTCTTCCACATCCCCCAACGGGAAATCCTCTCCACATCTTCAAGCGTCCAGCTACAACCATTCTTCAAATCTTTCTCAGTCAGTACCAACGTCAATGTCTCATAATGCTACGAGCTCCTCACTGCCACCTGTCGCCTCTTCCGATCTTTTGAGATCCAGCATTATGTCCACGTCTCCGTTTCCTTCGCCAGTCGCGTCCCTGAACAACGCCACGGTGGTGTCCAGTACGTCCTCTTCCTCCCTGTCTCACCACTCATCCAGCACCACATCGCGCAAGAGGCCTCGCTCGTTGCCAGATGAACAGAAGGACGCCGCTTACTGGGAAAGGAGAAGAAAAAACAACGACGCCGCCAAGAGGTCACGTGACGCCAGGCGTGCCAAGGAAGACGAGATCGCCATCAGGGCGGCATTGCTGGAGCAGGAGAACTTGAAGCTTCGCATGGAAGTGGCTGCACTGAAAACAGAAACATCGAGACTGAGGTGTCTGCTCTGCAGCAGTTGAGCACTCATGAAGCCTTGTGTCTTCGCCAGTTTTGTAGATCTCTTCTACATCTGCGTCTCTGCTAAAGACTTCACTTTGCATTCTAGCAGCGGAATGAAGAAGAATTGTGTAGGACGCTTTACAAAGTCGGACAGCTATTTTATTGCGCATAGTTTCAACTTGATTTGTTCTAGGCTAAAACAGCGATGTTTTGTCTGAACTCTATTCCAATATTTATTTTTAAACAAGTTGTGACCGCAATAAAACCGCTTCTCTACCTTGATCAGAAGACAAACTGATGTCGGCTTTAAAAGACAAACTGATGTCGGCTTTAAAAGAGGATCTAAAACTTTCACGGATTATTTTGCCCGTATCTTCCATAGTTTCAGAGGACCAATTTTTCGCAAGTAAATGTATTTTCAGCAAGACATTCTGATATACACAAATAAATACTGCTTATCACACACAAATAAATACAGCTTACCAAGACAAATAAATACAACTTATCTCAAGTTATGGACCAAATGTATTGGTATATCAATGCCCCTTCTTTTTCGGGAGGGCTGAAATGGATTTTTGTTTTGTTTAATTAGCTTTGTTTTTATTGTTCATCATTAGAGCATGTTATGCAACTGTGGTCAGAAGCAATGTTCTAAGTGTGTGTGGTCAGTAGCATGTTCTAAGTGTGTGTGGTCAGAAAAAGTCTAGTAAGATATACCTCTTTCACGTCAGTTTGTCAAATAAAATAGATTATTTCGTCGCCCAATCGTGTTATAGTTACATGTACAATATTTCCTATTTGGACATTGAAATGTTACTTTTAGAGACCTTTGGCTTGAAAATACAACTTTTTTTTTTTAAGAGATGTTTTGTATTATAAATATTTTATTTGTACTTCTGCTCAGGGTTTGTCATTAAACTGCTGTTATATATGACCTTGTCACACAAAATATATACGATTACATATATTTATATATATATATTTTAAAAGTTATATTCTATAATTTTGATAATACTTTTGAAGATTCATTAACTGACTTGAATTGATTCTAATATTCATACCTTGGACTTCAATTTATTAATAAATTGACTTATGTGACTAAAATGTTGAAACTTTAATGTCACAAAAATTGAAATTTTCCCTAAATTTTCAATACAAGAAAAAATTATTTAGTTGCAATCATTTTTTTTAAATATGCAAAATGCGTACTAGTCTTTTGGAATTAATTATTTTTTTTTACATATTTTCCTTTCCAAAATTGTATCTCCTTGATTGTATCTTATTGTCTTTAGTATTGGTCAAATGATACTCCTGCTGTTTAGACCAAAAAAACTACAACATGTCTCCAAACTGCTACCAAGGTCTGGTGTACTCTGATTGTGACAAGATCGAGAAATGTCTATCATTCGTAGGTTCAACTATTTGTAAAGAAACTGTAGTCTTAGAGTTTGTAAAAAAAATTATTTTTTTTTTTTTGGCTTGGATGTAAATAATGTGATGTATTCTGCCACTTTCAAAATAGTGTTGTTTTTTTTTATTTAATTTAATTTACATTTTTTTTTGTGGGGGGGGGGGATTTCTATTATGCCAATAATTATATTCAATATAAACTAAATTTGTTTTGCTCGATATATATTTATAGTATTTGTTGCTTCATAAATATTTATAACTTTATAACTTGTAAGTAGCTACTATGTCTTCTTGATTGGACGCTGCTACGTTATTGTGTCCCTTTGTCTTTTGTTGGTATCTTCACTGTAAACTTGTCACTCGTATCATTTGTTTTATGAATTATTTTTCATTTTGAATGTTTTTTTTAAGTATTTCAAAAAACAAAAAAAAATTTTTTTTCTTTTTCCAGTTCTTGACTTTGGTTTCAGAAGTTTGTGATGTGAATTTGTACAAATTTAATTTTTATATGAAAAATTGTAAAAAAAACACACAAAAAAAACAACTAATCTTATGTCTTTTTAATTGTGTCATGTTTCAAAGTCTAAAGAACATGGAGCAGCTGTAGGAAAGGCGAACTCTAAACATAACAAAAGCCCTCCACCTCCCAAAATATACGTTTTCCCTGGCGTATATTTTAATTCTGCAATGGATATGATACCATTCATTGATTGACAGGTGTAGTACTGGTGTAGTACTGTCTCTAGTATATGCTCGTTATCTAAATTGGAGCTTCAGAATTTTGGGAATCTAGTCTAGAGCTACCAGTTCTGTGTCTTGACCCTGGGTCAGCTCAATTTTGAAGCCTACTTTATGCAAAATATTTGCTTCCAAGAAATGCTTGTCAGGATCAGAGAATACTTCATCGCTAGATGGCGTCTTGAGAAAGAGTTTAAAAAATGTCCATGTACTCTGACAACTTATTGGTACTAAGCCGCCATAAAGTGTTGTCATAGATTGTTGTTATAAAGTGTTCTCAGTTAAAGCCCAATACGAACGCCAATAGAATATTTTGTACCATTTAAATAAATAGCATTTGTCTTTGTTTTCTGCGTTTCTTGTTACCCTTAAGTGTGTGATTGTTTCAGTGATGTGTAGCTCAAAGTCCTTTCATGTGTTGCCTATCTAAATGTCACATGTGCTCATATATAAAGCCAGCTGTGTCATGGGAAATGTCAACTCCTAACATGTTTAAAAACTCAACTCAGGAACCTTGTGCTATTTATCAAGATGTATTGATTTTTACATGTTTGATTCCATTTTATTTTATTTAAATGTCATGATCTGTCATCTGACATATTTGTCCATATCCATTTGTCCTTTTTAAAAAGAATAAAGAAAACTGCATTTGTGTATCTTTGAATATTGACATACATTACTTCAATTGATCTCAAACAGGGATATTTACCGAACACAAAGATGTTGCAGAACTTTTGTGCAGGTTTTTTTTTTTTAAATAACTCGATCTTCTACTCTATTCCACCCCTAGTTAAACCAAGTCAAGCTAGGTTATCTTTGCATAGCTACATACTACTGCTGGTTTATTACTTGTAAACTATGTCATTTATAAATATTTTAATGCTTTTTAAAAAAATCAATTTTTTATAATAATAATAATAATTTAAAGTCATTTTTACTTTGCATCATAATTTATTAGCATTATACTGTCATTATATTTTTTTATCAAGTCCACCATTGACTTAAGGTTACAACGATTTTCATTGTAATATTATTGTTTGTTGTTGTTGTTTTTTTCAAGCATTTTGTTTAAAGCTTAGCTTTTTATGCAATGTCCAATTCATACTGTTTAGTTTTTCTTCCAAAAATTATTTTATGAAAAAAAAAAAACGTCAAAAGTATTCCTACATTGCTACATCCATTCAAAATCATGATCCACATTTTTATTTTACTCGACCAAAAGTGCAATTTGTTTTGCAGGCGTTTTTTAATGAATCAAAAAAATGTTAGTTTTTGTTTTGTTTTGTTTTTTGTTTAGAAAAAAAACTTGTATTAAAAAAAATTATAAGATTTTTTCTTTTTGTATTGAAGAATTGAATAGCAGCTTTGATTTTAAAAAATTGATTCTCATTTGTACAACTCAAAGAGACCTACATGATATTAAAATATGATACAAAAAAAAGTCTCCTATTGATTTTTTTAACCTTATTAGCAAACATTTTTTTATGGTGAAAAACTTTTAGAATTATAAATATTTGTTTTTGGGAGAGAGGTGGACGATGAAGTATATTTTTTCAAACTACGGTCACCTCGCATCCAACCAGTGATGCCAGAGTCTCATTTTTTTTTACACCTATGAAAAGTACCCACTGACTTTCTTGTCTATCGTATTGTAATACCGTTCATCTGATACACACACACAAACACTTAGGACTCTAAGAATAAGACGTCATCGGAGTAACTTACGTCTTCTGACACCAATTTGTAACTTAGAATCTGAAGAGCGATATCAGCGATGTAGATAGATGTCTGTCTTTTGTTCCAGCTGTTTGTCCTGCTGTTATTAGTTCTCACGGTGTGGGTAGAAAGAAAGCAGATTTAGAGACTTATATCATCATATAGGACAAGAGAGCAGATTTACAGACTGTTATGTCATCATGTAGAACAAGAGAGCAGATTTAGAGACTGTTATGTCATCCTATAGGACAAGAGAGCAGGTTTAGAGACTGCTATGTCATCCTATAGGACAAGAGAGCAGGTTTAGAGACTTAAGTCATCATATAGCACTTTGCAATTGCCTAAGGACGGACACCAGATGTCATCATTTAGGACAAGAGAGCAGATTTAGAGACTGTTATGTCATCATATAGGACAAGAGAGCAGGTTTAGAGACTATTATGTCATCATATAGGACAAGAGAGCAGATTTAGAGACTGTTATGTCATCCTATAAGACAAGAGAGCAGGTTTAGAGACTGTTATGTCATCATATAGGACAAGAGAGCAGGTTTAGAGACTGTTATGTCATCATATAGGACAAGAGAGCAGGTTTAGAGACGGTTATGTCATCATATAGGACAAGACAGCAGGTTTAGAGACTGTTATGTTATCCTGTAAGAAAAGAGAGCAGGTTTAGAGACTGTTATGTCATCATATAGGACAAGAGAGCAGGTTTAGAGACTGTTATGTCATCATGTAGGACAAGAGAGCAGATTTAGAGACTTATATCATCATATAGGACAAGAGAGCAGATTTAGAGACTGTTATGTCATCATATAGGACAGAGAGCAGGATTAGAGACTGTTATGTCATATAGGACAAGAGAGCAGATTTAGAGACTGTTATGTCATCCTATAAGACAAGAGAGCAGGTTTAGAGACTTATATCATCATATAGGACAAGAGAGCAGATTTAGAGACGGTTATGTCATCATATAGGACAAGAGAGCAGATTTAGAGACTGTTATGTCATCATATATGACAAGAGAGCAGGTTTAGAGACCTAATTCATCATATAGCACTTTGCTATTGCCTAAGGACAGACACCAGATGTCCTTTCAGATATTGTTAGCACACTGTCTAATTGGCTTTGCTAGCATAAAGGAAGGGGACCTGGATAGGTGATGAGGACCACGCAGAGAGCAGGAATTAAGTCCAATGCACAACTCGTGACTGTCCACAATTGTTCTCTTTAGTCATATGACCAGTTGCAAGAGAGTATGTGGCTGAGAGGCCTACCCATAGATGGGGCTAGAACTCGAATACCGGTTCGAGCAGTGTGTTTCCCTGAAACCATCTCCCAGATACCCCTCTCCCCCACTGGTCCAAAAAAGAGATTGGACCCGTAGCGCACTGAAGCGTGAAGAGTGCACTAAATAAACATTTTCTAATTCTCACCATTTTATTTTAATGACATCCTCGTATCAATCAACCTTTGACCTTGGTCGTGAGCGTGCCATGAGATTTCCCGCAAGCAATAGTCTCCACTCGTCCTGAGCCGCCATTCACTCTGACCAACCAATAGTCTCCACTCGTCCTGAGCCGCCATTCACTCTAACCAACCAATAGTCTCCACTCGTCCTGAGCCGCCATTCACTCTGACCAACCAATAGCCTCCGCTCGTCCTGAGCCGCCATTCACTCTAACCAACCAATAGTCTCCACTCGTCCTGAGCCGCCATTCACTCTGACCAACCAATAGTCTCCGCTCGTCCTGAGCCGCCATTCACTCTGACCAGCCAATAGTCTCCGCTCGTCGTGAGCCGCCATTCACTCTGACCAACCAATAGCCTCCGCTCGTCCTGAGCCGCCATTCACTCTGACCAACCAATAGTCTCCGCTCGTCCTGAGCCGCCATTCACTCTGACCAACCAATAGTCTCCGCTCGTCTTGAGCCGCCATTCACTCTGACCAACCAATAGTCTCCGCTCGTCCTGAGCCGCCATTCACTCTGACCAACCAATAGTCTCCGCTCGTCTTGAGCCGCCATGAATCATGAATCAGGACATTTAGTGAGATTTCAAAGATAATGGCTAAATCATAATTAAACCTTCTTGTTGTTACAGAGAGGGCACGCAGAGGAGGACAACTGGTTGGTCAGAGTGAATGGCGGCTCAGGACGAGCGGAGAATATTGTTTGGTCAGAGTGAATGGCGGCTCACGACGAGCGGAGACTATTGGTTGGTCAGAGTGAATGGCGGCTCAGGACGAGCGGAGACTATTGGTTGGTCAGAGTGAATGGCGGCTCAGGACGAGCGGAGACTATTGGTTGGTCAGAGTGAATGGCGGCTCAGGACGAGCGGAGGCTATTGGTTGGTCAGAGTGAATGGCGGCTCACGACGAGCGGAGACTATTGGCTGGTCAGAGTGAATGGCGGCTCAGGACGAGCGGAGACTATTGGTTGGTCAGAGTGAATGGCGGCTCAGGACGAGTGGAGACTATTGGTTGGTTAGAGTGAATGGCGGCTCAGGACGAGCGGAGGCTATTGGTTGGTCAGAGTGAATGGCGGCTCAGGACGAGTGGAGACTATTGGTTGGTTAGAGTGAATGGCGGCTCAGGACGAGTGGAGACTATTGGTGAAAGCCTCATTGGGAAGTCAACCAAACCTTGAACATGAAATCTCTGAATGCAAAGACCAAACTTCCTTGGGCAAGTTTCTTCGATATGAAATCATAATTCACTTCAATCAAAACCAAACTTACGTCCATCATGTCAAGCACAAGTTAAGTGTTGAGTTGTAACTGTCCCGCCCAATTCTCACGTTCCCAAAGGCTGATTTTTCAAATACACACTCCAGCTACATTTTGAATTCGGAAGAACGTTCTGTACGCAGGTCATCTTGACATGTAGTTGTATTTATTTTTATTGTTGTAAAAAAAAAAAAGACAATCGGTTTGGGGGGGGGGGGGGGGGGGAATTCATTAGCCGAACGTCGTCTTGGCTGCTAGATTTGAATAGAAGCAGGTCTCAGACCAGACAGACTTGTAATAAATGTCTAATTGAATTTATTTTTGTCTTGATTTACATAACATGTATGTTGTTTATCAGAGAGAGAGAGAGAGAGAGAGAGAGACGGATCGGGCCTGCAATCTCAGCTTTAATGAGCAACTATTAGCTGTGCGACTCGATCAACATAAATGCTAATGTGTTGTTACGTATCTATCAATTTCAAGGCTGAATTTTTTTTTTTTATTTCTAACAAACTCATCGTCTAGACAAACAAAAAAAAAGAGGCAAGACAGACAGGCATAGATAGAAGAAACGTGTGAGATCATTTGAGCATTATGGAAATTCATCGAAGTTCTGAACGAACTATACAACCCAGCATCAGAAGAATGGCTCAGAAGAACAGCACACTATTTCCCCTTGGCATAGACTGCAGAAGAGCGTACAGCTCCACACCAAAACTAGGGCTAGAAGAAGACATTAACAATTCTTACAGAAAGAAGAAAAACAAAAGTATTAGTTTAAAACATACTCCTCCTTCACAAATCTTAGAGAGCAATTCTTTTGCTCTTTATTAATTATTGTTAGGGGAAGTTGTTTTTTTTTTACCCCGCCTCATCTACCCCTCCCTTAGGAAAATGAGAGTTGAAGCTAATGTAGAAATCTACTAGATTTTATAATAATTGATATAGGCCTTTAGTCAGCGAGCCAAATTTAAATATTTTGTTTATACTTTGAAAAATCTTAAAGGTTAAACTTTTGGGTTTTCCAAAATGTGTGGCCAACGAGCATTTATTTTTATAACTGTTGTATAATAATCATTTATTTTTTTTACCAACGATAGATATCAAATGTCAGATTTCTAGGAAAATCGTTAGAGCCGTTTGTGTGATGAATGTGCTACCTGAATAGAGGCATTGTAAAAAGCTGGCCAAATGAAGAAGATTAGAAAAAACAGTGTAAAATTTTTACAGGAAAAAAACGGTTATATACGAAAACGAATGCTACTGAAATCCTTCCTACAAAGTCAACTAAGTCCGTCATTAAAATACTTGTTGGACTTCATTTTCCTTTGGGTTTTGTGAACGAACCCAGGACCTCCATTACAACACTTCTAATCCCACTGTCGAGTTCATAGTCATAACCCAGTTTTTCCAAGGTGAAGATCTTCAACCCCTGGATCTTGTCGCAAGGTGATAAGCTCAGCCACTATCGTGTCGTCTGATCAGGTGTTTAAACATCAGAATAAATAGCAGTGGAAGTTTACTTGTTTTAGTTGTTTTTTTTTTTTTTTTTATGTATTACAAACAGATAATTGAAATGTTTTAAAAACTGTGGTTTTATAAGAATCTAGAAGGAAGCTTTAAGAGCTAAGATTAGACCATGTCCATTTGGTGATAAGAGGGAAGCTTTAAGAGCTAAGATTAGACCATGTCCATTTGGTGATAAGAAGACAGACTCGTGATATCTCAAAGCTGTCCATTCAACTTTGTGTCACACCTTGTCGCGCTACTGTTGTATAGCAGTGACCGCACCCTTCCGACATCGCGGAGCTGGTAACTCTTAGAATAAGCTTAATTTCTCCGATTACAGACACTGACACTGTTATGTATCTGACCATCTGTCCCCCCCCCCCCCCACCTCTTTTAACCTTTTTGAAGCCCTCCACCAAACAGACGCCATTAGCTGTTTACGCTATCTTCCAGGCCCTGAATGGCTACCATGGAGTGATATTAATGT